AATATTAGCCCCGCCCACCCACCCCTTCTCAATTGTGATGAATGTTTTATTCATCGTGAGCCGAAGGGCGGAGTTTAGCTGCAAAATCCTCATTTCTCTTTAAGAAATTTCCGTATGAAATTCGTCACAATTGAGACTGGGGAGGGTGGGTGGGGCCTATTTTTTGTATTTTTTTTTAGTATATAGTTTTCTTTCAACAATAGGATAGTTAAACAAGTGTTCAGTCTCTTGTTTCCAAAAGAAGACTTCGCATATTAAGAAAAAATGGTCAAAATATAAACCCCGCCCACCCACCCTTTCTCAATTGTGATTAATGTTTTATTCATTGTGAGTTGAAGGGCGGAGTTTAATGGCAAATTCCTCATTTCTTTACAAGAAATTACAATATGAAATTCATCACAATTGAGATTGGGGCGGGTGGGTGGGGCTTAATCTTTGTTTTTTTTTTAATGTATAGAGTGATAACAATCGGTCCCGTGGTAAAAAAAAATTGAAAAATCTAAAGATCGAAAAATCATAAATTGAAAAATTGAAAAAATTAAATATCAACAAATTGAAAAACAGAGCAAATTCAAGAAATTGAAAAATGCAGAAATCGAAAAATTGAATAACAAAGAAATTGAAAAGTGGGGAAATCAAGAAATCGAAAAATCGAAGGGAAAAATAAAAAAATTGAAATTGTAATACATATTGAAAAACCGAAAAACAGAGAACTCGTTAAAACCAAAAATTGAAAATCAAAAAACCGAAAATTTTTAAACTCCAAAAATTGATCGAAAAGTGGAGAATCGACAAATCAAAAAATTGAAAAATTAAAAAATCGAGGAATAGAATAGTCGAAAAATCTAAAAATTGAAAATTCGACAAATCGAAAAATTGAATAACTAAGAAATCGAAAAGTGGGGTAATCAAGAAGTCGAAAAATCGAGAATTCGAAAAATGAAAAAAATTAAATATTGACAAAGGGAAAAATCGAAGAGCAAAAATTAGGATATTTTGAAAAATGAAGAAATCGAAAAATTGAAAATCCCAAACATCGAAAAATCGAAGGGAGAAATAAAAAAATTGAAAAACCGAAAAGCTGAAAAATAGAAACGTTGGAAAAACCAGAAATGAAAAATCGAAAAATTGATTTTAAGTGGAGAATCCACAAATCAGAAAATAGAAAAATTCAAAATTCGAGGAATAGAATAGTCGAAAAATCGCGACCTTGAAAAATTGAAAAGTCGAAAAATTGAAAATCCGACAAATCGAAAAATTGAATAACCGGGAAATTTAGAAAGGGGGATATCGATAAATTGAATAATTAAGAAATTGAAAAGTGGGGAAATAAAGAAATCGTAAAATCGAAGGGAAAAATAAAAAAATTGAAACCGTGATATTGAAAAACCGAAAAACAAAGAAATCGGAAAAACCAAAAATTGAAAAAACGAAAAGTCGAAAAATGAAAAAATTAAATATCGACAAATTGACAAATCGAAGAGCAAAAATCAAGAAATTGAAAAATGCAGAAATCGAAAAATTGAAAACTCCAGACATCGAAAAATCGGAGGGAGAAATAAAAATATTGAGAAACCGAAAAATCGAGGAATGGAATAGTCGAAAGATCGGGATCTTGAAAAACCGAAAAGTCAAAAAATCTAAAAATTTAAAATTCCATAAATCCAAAAATTTAAAAACAGGGAAATCGAAAAATCGAAGGGGAAAATAAAAAAATTTAAACTGTAATATTGAAAAACCGAAAAACAGAGAAATCGTTAAAACCAAAAATTGAAAAATCAAAAAACCGAAAATTTTTAAACTCCAAAAATTAATCGAAAAGTGGAGAATCGATAAATCAAAAAATTAAAAAATTAAAAAATCGAGGAATAGAATAGTCGAAAAATCTAAAAATTGAAAATTCGACAAATCGAAAAATTGAATAACTAAGAAATTGAAAAGTGGGGTAATCAAGAAGTCGAAAAATCGAGAATTCGAAAAATGAAAAAATTTAAATATCGACAAAGGGAAAAATCGAAGAGCAAAAATTGGGATATTTTGAAAAATGAAGAAATCGAAAAATTGAAAATCCCAAACATCGAAAAATCGAAGGGAGAAATAAAAAAATTGAAAAACCGAAAAACTGAAAAACAGAAAAGTCGGAAAAACCAGAAATGAAAAATTGAAAAATTGATCTTAAGTGGAGAATCCACAAATCAGAAAATAGAAAAATTCAAAATTCGAGGAATGGAATGGTGAAAAATCGCGACCTTGAAAAATTGAAGTCGCAAAATCGAAAAATCGAATAATTAAGAAATTGAAAAGTGGGGAAATAAAGAAATCGAAAAATCGAAGGGAAAAATAAAAAAATTGAAACCGTGATATTGAAAAACCGAAAAAGAGAAAACGGAAAAACCAAAATTTGAAAAAATGAAAAGTCGAAAAATGAAAAAATTAAATGTCGACAAATTGAAAACTCCAAACATCGAAAAATCGGAGGGAGAAATAAAAAAATTGAAAAACCGAAAGATCGGGATCTCGAAAAATCGAAAAATCAAAAAATCTAAAAATTGAAAATTCAACAAATCGAAAGATTTAAAAACGGGGAAATCGAAAAATTGAATAACTAAGAAATTGAAAAGTGGGGAAATCAAGAAATCGAAAAACCGAAGGGAAAAATAAACAATTGAAACTGTAATATTGAAAAACCGAAAAACAGAGAAATCGTTAAAACCAAAAATTGAAAAATCAAAAAACCGAAAATTTTTAAAATCCAAAAATTGATCTTAAGTGGAGAATCCACAAATCAAAAAATAGAAAAATTCAAAATTCATTTCTCCACAAGAAATTACTAGATGAAATTGATCACATTTCAACTTGGGGCGGGTGGGTGGGGCGTAATTTTTGTTTTTTTTTTAGTATATAGTTTTCTTTCAACAACAGGATAGTTAAACATGCTTTCAGTTTCGTGTTAGGAAAGGAAGACTTCCTATATTAAGAAAATATGGACAAAATATTAGCCCCGCCCACCCACCCCTTCTCAATTGTGATGAAAATTAAAAATTGAAAACTGCAAAATCTAAAAATTTGAACGTCCAAGTCGGAAAATCGGAAAATCTGGAAAATTTAAAAATGAAAAATTTAAGACATCGTAAAATTAATGTACAAAAAAAACCGAAAAATTGAAAGATTGCAAACTGAAAAGAAGTGAAATTGAAAAAACAAACTATTTTAAAATCGGAAAATTGAAAAATTGTAACAATAAAGCAAATAAAAAATGTAAACGAAAAATTGCAAATAGAAAAATTAAAAATTGAAAACTCGAGAAACTCATTTCGAAAAATTGTAAAATTGAAATTTGAAAACTTGAAACCAGACAACAAAAATCGCAAAAAATTTATAATTTTTCTAATAGTTCTATTGAAATGACCTTGGAACAAGTTTTATTTTTCAAATCGGGGCACCACAATACATTAATTTTGATATGTAGAGTGCAACATTAACAAATATTAAGGTATTTTTTGATTTTATCATCCTTCCAAAGGCAGCCAGCTAGCGGCGAAAGTCCGGAATTTTCTCTATCAAGAATTTACGTGATGTAAAATTATGCATTAATTCAAGTTAATTAAACCAAAATAAGACGGTCTCAGAAAACGTTCGGCGCGTTTTGAGACCCAATGTTCAAATTCAAGTTGTAAGAAATTATTAAACCTGTAAGAAAATATTAAAGTCCTCCCAGTTTCGAGTCCAGAATGGTAATTTAATTTAGCTGATGATAATTTTCAAGGTTAAAGTGTCAAATTGCGTCTGAATGTGAAATTTAGATTTTCAAATCGGGACACCACAATATGTTAATTTTGATATATACAGTGCATATACAGTACATTAACAACTATAAGACACTTTTCGACACCTAAAAGCAGCGAAAACAATGGTCGAGTAATATTGTGGGGTATGTTCAGCAGTACGTAGTAGATATTAACACACAAACCGTCATTTTCCAAATGTATTACTACTCCACTATTTCCGAACATAAAACCAAATGGTTTATAGTCGTAATATCCAACGTTGCAAAATACGTCTTATCGTGTGGGTTTCACGTCGTAGCTGAACAAAAAGTTTTTATTGAAGCTAAACTTAGATGTTGTAACCTTTGGAACTTTAATATCACTAACTCACAAAGCTCTGAAGGCTTAAGTTTGTTTACTTTTGTTGTTTGTTTGAAACGTTACTTTGTGTTTCTTTTAAATTTTCCGCAGCACGAAAAATTAATCGGAGTAGTTCAGGGAGCCATCTGGACCCTTCACTCTTCCCAACTTTGATAAATGACGTGCTTCCAGAAAAATATATTACTCATTAACCCGCCGCCGACTTAAAAATAGCCGGAATTATCCAAACTGCTGACGATTCCTTCACACTACACTTACTTACTTTTGATTATTTAAAACCGTGGTGCAACCAACCTGCAACATTTTTTAACCACACACTCATTTCCTTTTTCTAATTCTCTTAAACAACTCCCGAAATACCGCGATTCGAGTAATTGACCGCATTTCCAGACAACGTATGTGTTTACATCCTAAAATATCCCCATTCACCTCATTTACGACCCAAAAGTGCGCAAAAACGTGCCCTTTGAAACCAACTTGTCGTCGATCGATTATCGTTCCAAGCGTGAAATTGATTGCTGAGCGGATGTCCTAAATATACGATGTTTATCTTTCAGAGGCTGCGAAACGCGTCTTTAGATTTCTCAATGCCGTTCATTGTTTGAAACTTCGAAATTAATGACCAATTTTAATTACAAACGCGCTCTCTAGCCGTCGCTTTCACAAATGATAATTTTTAGCTTGATTAAAATAATTTTACACGTTTGTCAGTGGAAAGTCGCTAAAAATAAACCACTTAATTACTCTTCCGGAAGTACCTGTATGACTCTTACTTGACTTATGTCCAATCCTATAAATAAGTCAGAGCACCGCGCAAAAATTATTTTTAATCTTTTCATGGCGTTGTCGCAGATATGGAATTTTGAAGAATGGCTCCAAGGACGTGAAGGGACACGAGTGGTTCAAGAGCGTGGACTTCGACCAGGTGCTACGACGAAGGGTCAAACCCTTGTTCAAACCCAAGGTCAGAGACGCGGGGGATACTAGCAACTTCGACTACTACGAAGAGGAGCCTTTCCGGACCAGTTCTAAAGAAGAATTCGCTGAAGAGTTCGCGGAAATTAAAATTCCTTCCAAGTAGTTTGCGGAGACTCGAGGGGAAGTGTAGGAATCAAGGAAAGCGGATCAATAAAATATTAATTAACCTACACGTGTTTATTATAGCACAAATAATCAAGTGAGACCCTACTTTATCTATAAAATTAGATACTTTGCAAATAAATACATACATCATGAACAAAAATGAAAAAAATCTTATCAGTATAAATCTATCCAAATATTACACAGCGTGGACTTAGTCTAACGTTATATTTCCATTTTTTCGCTATAATTCAACTAAAAATTCAAAAAAAGCTAAAATACCTTAATCGTCGTCGTCGTCATCATCATCTGAGACATACCGCTTCGCTGATCTCTTACGTCTTCCACTAGTTTTCTTATTTTTAAGCTTGATTTTCATCTTGACTGATTCTGTGTCGGACTTATCGTCTTTATCGTCGTCGGAATCGGGCCCTCCTGCCTCTATACGTTGTTTAGCATTGGTAAATACAGATTGTAACACAATACTGTCTTCATGGATTAAAGACGCTTCCTCGTTATAGATTTGGGCGTTTTGACACAACAGCATAAAGTCCCGCTCCAAATCCGTAAAATCGTTATACTGAAAAAACGAGTTAGAAACTAGACCCACTTTCCACGAAACGAACCTTTCCATCTTCAATTCTCCCTAGGATTTTGTTGATGTCAATGGGTTTTTTGATAATGTCGTAGTAGTCGGGGTAATCCTTCCTGGGTGGTAGTTTCATGAAGGGTTCACTTAATAGTCGCCCGTCGCTAGACAATGAAGTTAGTAACGAGTTGTGTCCTTCACATACAATCGCACGCAAATGTTTTGAGCCTATGGGCGGATCGTTTTTGCCTGCCTTCACCGAAGAAGGCGGTCCAAACCCTTCAAGGGCAGAATTTGTAGGCATAATAATAAAAACGTGCCATTTTTGTTAACTGATATTTTGTTCATAAATGTCGCAAAATTATTAAATTTGTCTAATCATCCCCACCAATGTGATGACGTCACTTCAAATTTATGCATAGTAAATGGGTTTTAAATTGTATACAGTAACATAGTCCTACACATGTAGTTTATGACTCCGTGTTGAGTTTTTATCCAAAACGTCCAGATTTTTGGAAAAAAAAATCAAAATTATAAAACAATATTTTGCAATGTAATTTTGAATTTGCAAAATCAAATACTTTGAAATCTTGCAGATGTTTTAAAATCATGATAAACATGATACATTTTTAATTAAAATATATTTGCTTATCCCCTCTAAAAAATTTATGACGTCACCTCAAAATTTTGCAGAATAAATCCTATCTTAAATGTATAAAATATGATGAGTTTTATACTTGAGATTTATCACTGCATTAATATTTTTTAGATTTGGTTATACAGGGTGTCTCAAAAAAGTTAATGACTGAGTCAATTTATTTTATTGAAGAAATCAAGAATAGCAAAACTGAATACTTTGAAATATTGTAGATGTTTTGAAGTTTTTGTAAGCATGGTAACTTTTTCGAAAATTTGATTAATCAAATATGCGCAAAACCAAAAATCGGAAAAACTGAAATTCACTAATGCAAAAAGCAGAAAATCGAAAAATACAAATCGTAAAAATCGAAAATCTAAAAATGGCTAATCAAAAAATCGAAAATTCAATGAATCAAAAAGTGGAAATTCACAAACCTCAAAAATCGAAAAATCGAAAATTGAAAAACGGGAAAACCAAAAAATCGAAAAGTCAAAAATTTGTAATATTGAAAATTAAAACAAAAATAAAAAAAATTGCAAAGCCTAAAAACTGAAACGAATAGAAAAATCGAAAAAGCAAAAAATTGGAAAAACAAAAATTCGAAAAATCTAAAATCGAAAAAGTGGAAAATGGAAAATCTGAATAAAGAAACTTGAAAATTCTGAAAATTGGAAAATCGAAAACCAAAAAATCGGAAAGTAACAAAGTCTAGTCTAACAGTTGAGAATGGAAAAATTGAAAAATCGAAAATTCTAAAAATCGACAATGGACAAATTGAAAATTGCAAAATTTAAATTGAAAAATTGAACATAGAAAAATCGATGAATTGAAAAATCGAAAATTCGACTACTCAAATTTTTTAAAAATCGAAAAATCATAAAACTGAAAAATCCAAAATTCTAATCATCGAAAGTCTGAAAACTGAAAATCGAAAATTCTGAAAAGCGGAAAATAGAATATCGAAAAATTTAAAAGAAAGAAAATTCAAGTCTAAAAACCGAAGAATGAAAAAATTAAAAATCAAAAATTCGAAAAATCAAAACCGAAAAATTCAAAGATTTAAAAAGAAAATCGAAAAATCAAAAATCTGAAAATTGAAACTCGAAAATTTGGAAAATCGAAAAGTAAAAATATTGAAGTCTAAAAGCTGAAAAGTGGAAAACTGAACAATCGAAAATTCGAAAATCAAATATCGAAAAATCGAAAATTTGACAAATCAGATATGCGAAAAACAGAAAATCTGAAAATGCAAAACTGGAAAATCAAAAATCTAACAATGGAAAAACCGAAAATCGAAAATTCAATGAATCTAATACGTAGGTCGATCGAAAAACTGGAAATTCACAAATCTGAAAAATCGAAAATTTGTAAGATTGAAAAACCGAGAATTGAAAAATCAAAAAACCGAAAAATGGAAAAATCAAAAATCGAAAAATAGGAAAACCGAAAATTCGAAAATTCATAATATTGAAAACTCTAAAAGTCGACAATTCAAAAAACTGGAAAAAAATAATCAAAAAATCGAAAAGTAAACAAATTGCAAAGCCTAAAAACTGACGAACAGAAAAATCGAAAAATCGTAAAATCAAAAAGTGGAAAATCGAAAACTGGAAATTGAAAAATCGAAGATTGGAAAATCGAAAAATCGAAAATCGGAATATCGATAATCGACAAATTAAAAAACCGAAAAATCGAAAAATTAAAAAATCGGAAATCGAAAAATGAAAAAAAAAAAACGAAAATTCAAAAATCGAATAATCCGAAACTAAAATAATAGAAAAGTGGAAAAGTAAAAATTGCAAAGTATCAAAACTGACGTACAGAACAATCGAAAAATAAAAAAAAATCGAAAAATATCCAAACATGGAAAATCGAAAAATCGAAAACTCGAAAAATCGGAAAGAAACAAAATTGAAGTCTAAAAGGTGAGAATGGAAAAATTGAAAAACCGAAAATTCTAAAAGTCGACAATGGACAAATTGAAAATCGCAAAATTTAAATTGAAAAATTGAGCATAGAAAAATCGATGAATTGAAAAATCGAAAATTGGACTACTCAAATTTTCTAAAAATCGAAAATTCTGAAAAGCGGAAAATAGAATATCGAAAAATTTAAAAGAAAGAAAATTGAAGTCTAAAAACCGAAGAATGGAAAAATTAAAAATTAAAAATTCGAAAAATCAAAACCGAAAAATTCAAAGATTTAAAAAGAAAATCGAAAAACCAAAAATCTGAAAATTGAAACTCGAAAATTTGGAAAATCGAAAATTCGAAAATCAAATATCGAAAAATCGAAAAGCCGAAAAATCGAAAATTTGATAAATCAGATATGCGAAAAACAGAAAATCTGAAAATGCAAAACTGGAAAATCAAAAATCTAAAAATGGAAAAACCGAAAAACGAAAATTCAATGAATCTAATACGTAGGTCGATCGAAAAACTGGAAATTCACAAATCTGAAAAATCGAAAATTTGCAAGATTGAAAAACCGAGAATTGAAAAATCAAAAAACCTAAAAATGGAAAAATTATAAAATCGAAAAATAGGAAAACCGAAAATTCGAAAATTCATAATTTTGAAAACTCTAAAAGTCGACAATTCAAAAATCAAAAAACTGGAAATTAAAATAATCGAAAAATCGAAAAGTAAACAAATTGCAAAGCCTAAAAACTGACGAACAGAAAAATCGAAAAATCGTAAAATCAGAAAGTGGAAAATCGAAAACTGGAAATTGAAAAATCAAAAAATCGAAAATCGGAATATCGATAATCGACAAATTAAAAAACCGAAAAATCGAAAAATGAAAAAATCGGAAATCGAAAAATGAAAAAAAAACCGAAAATTCAAAAATCGAATAATCCGAAACTAAAATAATAAAAAAGTGGAAAAGTAAAAATTGCAAAGTCTTAAAACTGACGTACAGAACAATCGAAAAATAAAAAAAAATCGAAAAATATCTAAACATGGAAAATCGAAAAATCGAAAATCGGAAAATGGAAAAACCGAAAAATCGAAAATCAAAAACTCGAAAAATCGAAAATTCGATGGAACAAATACTCGAAAAAGCGAAAAGTAAAAAAATTGCAAGGCCTAAAAATTGAAAAATCAAAAAATCGAAAAAATGAAAATCGAAAAAACGACGATCGAAAAAAATCAAAAAATCTAAAAGTGGAAAATCGAAAAGTAACAAAACTGAAATCAAAAGCTGCAAATTGCAGAACTATAAAAACTGAAACAAACAGAAAAATCGAAAAACCACAAAAGCGGAAAAACGAAAATCGAAAAATCGTAAAATCAGAAAATAGAAAATCGAATAATCGAAAGTTGAAAAATCGAAGGTCGAAAAATAAAACAACCGAAAAATCGAAAAATTTTATGACTAATGGAAAATCGAAAAATCGAGAATAGCATAATTAAAAAACCGGAAAATTGAAAAATCGGAAATCGAAGAATTAAAAACGTAAAATCGAGAATTCAAAAATCAAAAAAATCGGAAAGTAAAATATAATCGAAAAATGCAAAAAATTGCAAAGTCTAAAAACTGACGAACAGAAAAATCAAAAAATCTAAAAATGGAAAGACGAAAAATCGAAAATTGAAGAATGGTAAATTAAAAAATCGAAACACCGAAAAATCAAAAAAACGAAAAATAAAAAATCGAAAAACGAAAAAACTGAAAACTCGAAAAATCAAAATACCGCAAATTTGAAAAATCAGAAAATTAGAAAGTAATAAAATCGAAAAGTTGATAGAAAAATGGAAACTGAAAAATCTAATTCGATGAAACTGTTGGTCGAAAAAACGAAAAATCGAAAATCGAAGTGACAAGCTGTATAAGTAAATCTAAAAAATATTACTGCAATGATAATATCAAATTTTACGATGACGTCATGCATTTTTTGGCGAAGATAAGCAAATACATTTTGATCGTGGCTTTGAAAGTATTCTTCGACTTTCGTTCCATTTCAAAATTTACTCTTTGTATATTTCAGTGGTCACAACGAGTTCACTAACTATGCTGAAGTATGCAAAGATTAAATTTGTCACCGAAAAGATGTCGGAATAATAAATTATCCTATATAACAGATAAAATAAAGCGTCAAATATGATTGATAAACTTTAAACCAAAATTATGAAGTTTATAAACTGAATATTTTTTTTGTTTTTTGAAATGTAGTACACTTCAAAAAATATCCGTGACTTACTTTAATGTGAATTTTATAACTATGGTCGGCACAATTAGACCTAATATTAGTGTGATTTTGAGCATATTCTCGATGTTATTAGAGCAGGACAGGTTTTTTTTTCTAACCAATTGACAAGATTTCAAAGTATTCAGTTTTGCAATTCTTGATTTCTTCAATAAAATAAATTGACTCAGTCATTTTTTTTTGAGTCACCTTGTATGTATAAACAAATCCAAAAAAGATTAATCGAATGGTAAATCACAAGTATAGACTCATCAAATTCTGAACATTTTAGATAGGGTATTTATAAAATTAAAACTAATTCAGGGTAAGAATTTGGTCAACACGTAAATTTCGTTGTAGTTTGAGCCTACCTACAAATTCTGCCCTTGGACGATTTGGACCGCCTCCTTCGGTGACGACCGACAAAAACGATCCGCCCATAGCCTCAAAACATTTGCGTACCTACTTACCTGTCAGTGTACGTTGTGACTATATTCATTAACTTTCTCATTTGTCGTTTGATCTTCACATCCGCACTCGTCTGTCCTCGTCGTCGTTTGGCACTCGTCCCGACCTCACTATCCGAGTCTTCTCCTCTCTTCTTCCTCTTCCGACCTCGTCGCTTCTTCACTTTTTCCTCTTCGTCGTCGTCGTCATCATAATCCCCTCCGTCGTCAATCGCTTTCAACCACTCCTTCTCCGTCAAACTATCAGTATAATCCACCTCTTTCCTCTGCCTCGTGCCACGTCCCAGCGCCGACTCCGTTTCGTCGTAGCTCCACGGATCCACCTCATCGTCTTCTTTCACCAACCAATGCGGCAACTCGCTGATTTCCATCATCCTCGGCTTTCTATTCGGCCCCAACTTCGCCTCTTCGCGCCTCCGCTCCAAATCCATCTTCTGGAAAAGCTCGAACTCCGCCTCCGAGCGAGCCACCATCTGATTGACCGTTTCGTCGTCCGGAACCTCGTTCTCCTCCTGAACAACCCAAAATCACCTACGTTCCAAAATAAATCCCACTCACCTCTTCTTCGTCGCCATCCTGGTGTAAAATACTCTGTAAGAACTGTTGTCGTTCCGACCCGGTGGACTTCTGATCGAACATCCCAGCTTGAATGACCTTCTCGTCCATGTTCAACTTGTACCTAGCAGCCGCCAAAATCCGCTCTTCCACCGAGTTCACGGTCATCAACCTCAACACTCTCACTTCGTTCTGTTGCCCGATACGATGAGCACGATCCTGCGCTTGCAAATCCTTAAAAACACAAATATCATTTTGGGGTTACTCAAAGCGAAGCGAATACCTGGTGCGGGTTCCAATCCGAATCGAAAATGATGACAGTGTCTGCGCTTTGTAAATTCAAACCTAAACCACCGGCGCGCGTCGACAGCAAAAACAAGAAATAGTCGCTGTTCTTCGCGTTGAATTTCCTCAATAAGTCACCACGGTCTTCGGCTTTAGTCGTACCGTCGAGTCGCAAGTAACCGAAGCCCCTCCAAGTCAAGTAGTCTTCCATGATGGTCATCAACTGGGTCATTTGACAGAAAAGCAGGACGCGATGTCCTGTGGCTTTCAATTTCGGGAGGATTCGGTCGAGTAGTTCGAATTTACCCGACGCGCGGTACAAATCCGGGCTACGAAACAACGTTAATGGCGCAGTCGGTGGGATTGATTTTACTCACCCTGAGATAACTCCCCCTGATATTCCGACGTGGTCGCAGTATTTTTCTTCGATGTTTTGGAACATAAAGGGGTGGTTACACAATTTCCGGAGTTGCACGATTGTGTTCATTAGGGCTTTGGCTCCGCCTTTACCTTTGTTACCCTTTTCGGAACCATCAGTCAACAAAACACCTTTGCTTTGCATGTGCCTGTAAACCACACACACCCTGTGAAAGAGCACAACAAAGCCTAATAAAAGTACTCACTTGTACAAGACTTTTTGTAATCCCGACATATCACACTTGATTATGTATTCCACTTTATCCGGCAATTGCGACTCCACTTCCTTTTTTAAACGTCGCAGTAAGAACGGTCGCAACACCTTATGCAAACGACGGATGATCAAAATCGTTTCTTCTTCGTTTAGTTCGACCTTTTCGCCCGTGGTGGCAAACGGGGCGTTGAACCACTGCTCGAAAGTCGAGCAACTCTTGAAAATTGAGGGTAAAAGGAAGTTAAGGAGGGCCCACAACTCCGGGAGTTTGTTTTGGAGAGGAGTACCGGTAAGGAGGAGTCGATGGGGGGCTAAGTAGTGGGTATTCAAAACCTGGGTTAGTTTACAGTGATGGTTCTTCATTCTGTGGCCTTCGTCTATGATCATGTACTTCCATGGCAGTTTCGCCAGGACACCTTTATCTTTAATTACGTATTCGTAGGTTGTTAGGAGAACGTTGAATTTTGTGGAGCGCATTTGGCTTTGAATGGCTCGTCTGCCAGCAGGTGAACCTTTGTAAGATACCACAACCACAGAAGGCGACCATTTTTCAAACTCAAGAACCCAGTTGGATAAGGTTCTAGAAGCAAAATGGGTTCACATTGAAGGACAAGGGTTGTCAGAGATTGATTATTTTAAGTTTAACATGGTGAGTCATCAGAATCTGACAACGGACTGTCAGTCAGTAGCGTAACATGCACACTTCAGAAGGGTTTTTAAACTTATTTTTTTAAATCGTAAAGAATAACACGGGGAAACAAACTTAAGTGATCTAGTCAACACGCTACCACGTATGGCGATGAATCTATTAGGCACTAATCTAAAATCTTAATTTTTGTTTTTTTTTTTAATATGTAGTTTTTTTTTCAACGACAGGATAGTTAAACATGTTTTCAGTTTCTTGTCGGGAAAAGAAGACTTCGTATATTAAGAAAAATTCAACAAAATATACACCCCGCCCACCCACCCCTTCTCGATTGGGATGAATGTTTTATTCATTATTGTAGAAACATGAGGATTTTGCAAGTAAACTCTGCCCATCAGCTCATGATGAATAAAACATTCATCACAATTGAGATGGGGTGGGTGGGCGGGGCTTAAATTTTGTCCATTTTTCCGTTCCCAACAAGAAACTGAAAACATGTTTAACTATCCTGTTATTGAAAGAAAACTCTATATATTAAAAAAAAACAAACAAAGATTTAGCCCCACCCACCCGCCCCAATCTCTATTGTGATTAGTTTCCTATGATAATTTCTTGTAGAGAAATGAGGATTTTGCAGCTAAACTCCGCCCTTTAAGCTCACGATGAATAAAACATTCGTCACAATTGAGAAAAGGTGGGTGGGCGGGGTTTATATTTTGTCCATTTTTTCTTAACATGCGAAGTCTTCTGTTCCCAACAAGAAACTGAAAACATGTTTAACTATCCTATTGGTGAAAGAAAACTATACATTAAAAGAAAATAATAATAATAAAGATTAAGTATTATTAATTAATTATTTCACAACAATCGGTCCCGTAGTTTCGGAAATTTTCTGGCGAAATCTAAAAAAAAAATTGAAAAATCGAAAGATCGAAAAATCAAAAATTGAAAAATCAAGAAGTCGAAAAATCCAAAATTGAAAAATCGAGAATTTCAAAAATTGTGAAATAGAAATATCGAGAAATCAAAAAATTGAAAAACCGAAAAATCGAGGAATGGAATAGTCGAAAGATCGGGATCTCGAAAAATCGAAAAGTCAAAAAATCTAAAAATTGAAAATTCAACAAATCGAAAAATTTAAAAACGGGAAAACCGAAAAATTTAATAACTAAGAAATTGAAAAGTGGGGAAATCAAGAAAACGAAAAATCGAAGGGAAAAATAAAAAAATTGAAACTGTAATATTGAAAAACCGAAAAACAGAGAAATAGTTAAAACCAAAAATTTTTATAATCCAAAAATTGATCGAAAAGTGGAGAATCCACAAATCAAAAAATTGAAAAATTGAATAACTAAGAAATTGAAAAGTGGGGTAATCAAAAAGTCGAAAAATCGAGAATACGAAAAATGAAAAAATTTAAATATCGACAAATGGAAAAATCGAAGAGCAAAAATTAGGAAATCTTGAAAAATGAAGAAATCGAAAAATTGAAAATCCCAAACATCGAAAAATCGAAGGGAGAAATAAAAAATTTGGAAAACCGATAAACTGAAAAACAGAAAAGTCGGAAAAACCAGAAATGAAAAATCGAAAAATTCAAAATTCAAGGAATAGAATAGTCGACAAATCGGGACCTTGAAAAATTGAATAACCGGGAAATTTAAAAACGGGGAAATCGAAAAATCGGTAAGTCGAAAAATGAAAAAATTTAAATATCGACAAATCGAAAAGCAAAAATCAAGAAAAACTAAAATGGAGAAATCAAAAAATTTAAAACTCGAAACACCGAAAAATCGAAGGGAGAAATCAAAAAAATTGAAAATCCGCAAAATTGAAAAATCAAGAACTTGAAAAAACGAGAAATCGAAAAATCAAGAAACCGAAAAATTTTAAAATCCAAAATTGAGAACGGGGCGGGTGGGTGGTACTAAATCTTTGTTTTTTTTAATATATAATTTTTTTTCAACAACAGGATAGTTAAACATGTTTTCAGTTTCTTGTCGGGAAAAGAAGACTTCGTATATTAAGAAAAAATCAACAAAATATAGACCCCGCCCACCCACCCCTTCTCGATTGGGATGAATATTTTATTCATTATTGTAAAAAAATTAGAATTTTGCAAGTAAACTACGCCCTTCAGCTCATGATGAATAAAACATTCATCACAATTGAGAAGGGGTGGGTGGGCGGGGCTTAAATTTTGTCCATTTTTCATAACATACAAAGTCTTCTGTTCCCAACAAGAAACTGACAACATGTAGTCGAAAAATCCAAAATTGAAAAATCGACAACTTCAGAAATAGAGAAATTGAAAAATCGAGAAATCAAAAAATTGGGATCTTGAACAATCGAAAACTCGAAAAATATAAAAATTGAAAATTCGACAAATCAAAAAATTGAAAAACGGGGAAATCGACAAATTGAATACTTAAGAAATTGAAAAGTGGGGAAACAAAGAAATCGAAAAATTGAAGGGAAAAATAAAAAAATTGAAACCGAGATATTGAAAAACCGACAAACAGAGAAATCGGAAAAACCAAAAATTGAAAAAACGAAAAGTCGAAAATGAAAAAATTAAATATCGACAAATTGAAAAATCGACGAACAAAAATCAAGAAATTGAAAAATGCAGAAATAGAAAAATTGAAAACTCCAGACATCGAAAAATCGGAGGGAGAAATCAAAAAATTGAAAAACCGAAAAATCGAGGAATGGAATAGTCGAAAAGTCGAAAAGTCAAAAAATCTAAAAATTGAAAATTTAACAAATTGAAAAATTGAATAACTAAGAAACTGAAAAGTGGGGAAATCAAGAAATCGAAGGGAAAAATAAAAAAATTTAAACTGTGATATTGAAAAACCGAAAAACAGAGAAATCGTTAAAACCAAAAATTGAAAAATCAAAAAACCGAAAATTTCTAAAATCCAAAAATTGATCGAAAAGTGGAGAATCCACAAATCAAAAAATTGAAAAATTAAAAAATCGAGGAATAGAATAGTTGAAAAATATAAAAATTGAAAATTCGACAAATCGAAAAATTGAATAACTAAGAAATTGAAAAGTGAGGTAATCAAGAAGTCGAAAAATGAAAAAATTTAAATATCGACAAAGGAAAAATCGATGAGCAAAAATTAGGATATTTTGAAAAATGAAGAAATTGAAAAATTGAAAATCCCAAACATCGAAAAATCGAAGGGAGAAATAAAAAAAATGAAAAACCGAAAAACTGAAAAATAGAAAAGTCGGAAAAACCAGAAATGAAAAAACGAAAAATTGATCTTAAGTGGAGAATCCACAAATCAAAAAATAGAAAAATTCAAAATTCGAGGAATAGAATAGTCGAAAAATCGCGACCTTGAAAAATCGAAAATCCGACAAATCGAAAAATTGAATAACCGGGAAATTTAAAAACGGGGAAATCGAAAAATCGAAGGGAAAAATCATAAAAATTGAAACCGTGATATTGAAAAACCGAAAAACAGAGAAATCGGAAAAACCAAAAATTGAAAAATCGAAAAAACGAAAAGTCGAAAAATGAAAAAATTAAATATCGACAAATTGAAAAATTGACGAGCAAAAATCAAGAAAGTGAAAAATACAGAAATCGAAAAATTGAAAACTCCAGACATCGAAAAATCGGAGGGAGAAATAAAAAAATTGAAAAACCGAAAAATCGAGGAATGGAATAGTCGAAAGATCGGGATCTCGAAAAATCGAAAAGTCAAAAAATCTAAAAATTGAAAATTCAACAAATCGAAAAATTTAAAAACGGGGAAATCGAAAAATTGAATAACTACGAAATTGAAAAGTGGGTAAATCTAGAAATCGAAAAATCGAAGGGAAAAATAAAAAAATTGAAACTGTGATATTGAAAAACCAAAAATTGAAAAATCAAGAACTTGAAAAATTTTAAAAACGAAAAGTCGAAAAATCAAAAAACCGAGAAATTTTAAAATCCAAAAATTGATCGAAAAGTGGAGAATCCACAAATCAAAAAATAGAAAAAATAAAAAATCGAGGAATAGAATAGTTGAAAAATCTAAAAATTGAAAATTCGACAAATCGAAAAATTGAATAACTAAGAAATTGAGAAGTGGGGTAATCAAGAAGTCGAAAAATGAAAAAATTTAAATATCGACAAATGGAAAAATCGAAGAGCAAAAATTTAGAAATTTGGAAAAATGAAGAAATCGAAAAATTGAAAATCCCAAACATCGAAAAATCGAAAGGAGAAATAAAAAAATTGAAAAACCGAAAAACTGAAAAACAGAAAAGTCGGGAAAAACCAGAAATGAAAAATCGAAATATTGATCTTAAGTGGAAAATCCACAAATCAAAAAATAGAAAAATTCAAAATTCTAGGAATAGAATTGTCGAAAAATCGAGACCTTGAAAAATTGAAGTCGAAAAATCGAAAAATTGAAAATCCGACAAATCGAAAAATTGAATAACCGGGAAATATAAAAACGGGGAAATCGAAAAATTGAATAATTAAGAAATTGAAAAGTGGGGAAATAGGGAAATCGAAAAATCGAAGGGAAAAATCAAAAAATTGAAACCGGGATATTGAAAAACCGAAAAACAAAGAAGTCGCAAAAACCAAAAATTGAAAAAACGAAAAGTCGAAAAATGAAAAAATTAAATATCGACAAATTGAAAAATTGACGAGGAAAAATCAAGAAATTGAAAAATGCGGAAATCGAAAAATTGAAAACTCCAGACATCGAAAAATCGGAGAGAGAAATCAAAAAATTGAAAAACCGAAAAATCGAGGAATGGAATAGTCAAAAGATCGGGATCTTGAAAAATCGAAAAGTCAAAAAATCTAAAAATTTAAAATTCAACAAATCGAAATTTTTTTTTTAAAACGGGGAAATCGAAAAATTGAATAACTAAGAAATTGAAAAGTGGGGAAATCTAGAAATCGAAAAATCGAAGGGAAAAATAAAATAATTGAAACTGTAATATTGCAAAACCAAAAATTGAAAAATCAAGAACTTGAAAAATTTTAAAAACGAGAAGTCGAAAAATCAAAAAACCGAGAAATTTTAAAATCCAAAAATTGATCGAAAAGTGGAGAATCCACAAATCAAAAAATAGAAAAAATAAAAAATCGAGGAATAGAATAGTTGAAAAATCTAAAAATTGAAAATTCGACAAATCGAAAAATTGAATAACTAAGAAATTGAGAAGTGGGGTAATCAAGAAGTCGAAAAATGAAAAAATTTAAATATCGACAAATGGAAAAATCGAAGAGCAAAAATTTAGAAATTTGGAAAAATGAAGAAATCGAAAAATTGAAAATCCCAAACATCGAAAAATCGAAAGGAGAAATAAAAAAATTGAAAAACCGAAAAACTGAAAAACAGAAAAGTCGGGAAAAACCAGAAATGAAAAATCGAAATATTGATCTTAAGTGGAAAATCCACAAATCAAAAAATAGAAAAATTCAAAATTCTAGGAATAGAATTGTCGAAAAATCGAGACCTTGAAAAATTGAAGTCGAAAAATCGAAAAATTGAAAATCCGACAAATCGAAAAATTGAATAACCGGGAAATATAAAAACGGGGAAATCGAAAAATTGAATAATTAAGAAATTGAAAAGTGGGGAAATAGGGAAATCGAAAAATCGAAGGGAAAAATCAAAAAATTGAAACCGGGATATTGAAAAACCGAAAAACAAAGAAGTCGCAAAAACCAAAAATTGAAAAAACGAAAAGTCGAAAAATGAAAAAATTAAATATCGACAAATTGAAAAATTGACGAGGAAAAATCAAGAAATTGAAAAATGCGGAAATCGAAAAATTGAAAACTCCAGACATCGAAAAATCGGAGAGAGAAATCAAAAAATTGAAAAACCGAAAAATCGAGGAATGGAATAGTCAAAAGATCGGGATCTTGAAAAATCGAAAAGTCAAAAAATCTAAAAATTTAAAATTCAACAAATCGAAATTTTTTTTTTAAAACGGGGAAATCGAAAAATTGAATAACTAAGAAATTGAAAAGTGGGGAAATCTAGAAATCGAAAAATCGAAGGGAAAAATAAAATAATTGAAACTGTAATATTGCAAAACCAAAAATTGAAAAATCAAGAACTTGAAAAATTTTAAAAACGAGAAGTCGAAAAATCAAAAAACCGAGAAATTTTAAAATCCAAAAATTGATCGAAAAGTGGAGAATCCACAAATCAAAAAATAGAAAAATTAAAAAATCGAGGAACAGAATAGTCGAAAAATCGGAACCTCGAAAATTCTAAAAATTGAAAATTCGACAAATCGAAACATCGAAGAATGGAATAGTCGAAAGATCGGAACCTCGAAAAATAGGGAAATCGACAAATTGAATAATTAAGAAATTGAAAAGTGGGGAAATAAAGAAATCGAAAAATCGAAGGGAAAAATCAAAAAATTGAAACCGTGATATTGAAAAACCGAAAAACCGAGAAAACGGAAAAACCAAAAATTGAAAAAATGAAAAGTCGAAAAATGTAAAAATTAAATATCGACAAATTGAAAAATCGAAAAATCGAGGAATGGAATTGTCGAAAGATCGGGATCTCGAAAAATCGAAAAGTCAAAAAATCTAAAAATTGAATAACTAAGAAATTGAAAAGTGGGGTAATCAAGAAGTTGAAAAATCGAGAATTCGAAAACTGAAAAAATTTAAATTTTGACAAATGGAAAAATCGAAGAGCAAAAATTAGCGAATTTTGAAAAATTAAAAAATCGAAAAATTGAAAATCGCAAACATCGAAAAATCGAGAAATCGAAGGGAGAAATAAAAAAATTGAAAACCAATAAGCTGAAAAACAGAAAAGTCGGAAAAACCAGAAATGAAAAATTGATCATAAGTGAGAATCCATAAATCAAAAAATAAAAAAATTCAAAATTCGAGGAATTGAAAAGTCGAAAAAACGGGACCTTGAAAAATTGAAAAGTCGAAAAATCGAAAAACTGAAAATCCGACAAATCGAAAAATTGAATTACCGGAAAATTTAAAAACGGGGAAATCGAAAAATTGGTAAGTCGAAAAATGAAAAAAATTAAAACTCCAAACACCGAAAAATCGAAGGGAGAAAAAAAAAAAATTGAAAAACCGCCAAATTGAAAACCCAAAAAATTGAAAAACAGAAAAGTCGGTAAAACCAAAAATTGAAAAATCAAGAACTTGAAAAAACGAGAAATCGAAAAATCAAGAAACCGAAAAATTTAAAAATCCAAAATTGAGAACGGGGCGGGTGGGTGGTACTAAATCCTAGTTTTTTTAATATATATTTTTTTTTTCAACAACCGGATAGTTAAACATGTTTTCAGTTTCTTGTCGGGAAAAGAAGACTTCGTATATTAAAAAAAAAATGGACAAAATATAAACCCCGCCCACCCACCCCTTCTCCGTTGTGATGAATGTTTTATTCATTGTGAGCTGAAGGGCGGAGTTTATTTGCAAAATCCTCATTTCTCTACGAAAAATTATATGAAATTGATCACAATTGAGATTCGGGTGGGTGGGTGGGGCAAATCTTTTTTTTTATACGTAGTTTTTTTTCAACAATTTTTTGGCGCAAAAAACAAGAGATATTATAATAAAAAACCTGAAGTCAATCTATTGTTCAATAATTTTGGACTTAAGTGAAATTGAAAAAACAAACAATTATAAAATTGAAACAAAAACTGCAAATGGAAAAATTAAAAGTATTATTATGAAGAAAAATGCAGTCGCCTGCACAAAAAAACCTGTAAACTTCACCCACTCCCAAAATGAATGAAACAGAACCCCCATCACGATACCACATTTGTGAATACAAATTTGAACCTAACGCTAATATAACATATGGAAACGAATCTTAAAAAGCAACCCGTGAATACGTCACAATCTAGACCTTATCTCCCTCCACTCATACTTTAGAACTAACGACGACTTACGACAAAGGAACGATGATCAAGTAGGGTCCATTAACCTTCTTCTTCTCCATTAAGTACGTAATCAAGGCGATGGTCTGTATGGTCTTACCCAGACCCATCTCATCAGCGAGAATTCCATTCAAGTTATTATTATACAGAGACACCAGCCACTCCAGACCCTTAGTCTGGTATTCCTTGAGTTGTCCATTAACCATGATGGACGCTTGTTCTGTAACGATTTCGTGAACCGTATGGGCAATACTATAGTAAGTTTGTTCTTCGTTGGCGTTCTTGTGGTACTCATCATCTTCCACCTTCGCCTTATTGATGACCTCCTTCGCCTTATCTTCTTCCGACTTGCTAGCGTCATGGTGTCTGCCCCCATCTACAAAACCGGTTAATCCTCGCCTAATTTAACCCTAACTGACTTACTATCATCATCGTCATCGTCGGAATCTTCGTCATCCGAATCTATAGCCTCCCAACCCGGGTGCTGCAGCAGCCACTCTTGCAACTGACTCAACATCGGGGCATCCTCTCCCGATAATCTCTTCCCGGTGAGAATTTCCACCACAGTGATGGGTCGATCCGACCCCTGCGACCCATCGTCGTCCAACCCTTCAGCACGTTTCTTCTTCTTCTAAAAGTGTCAACGTCAAAAAATACAACACCCTATGTAAATTGATACCTTCTTCCGCTTCTCTTCTTCCTGTTGCTTGCGCTTCTGCTCCAACTTGTGCTGCTTCACCATCTCCGTCAAATTCGCGATGTACTCATCCGTCTGCGACAATAAGAACGCCAATCGCTTGTCTTTCTTCTGGTCGATCAGTTTCCTATAACCCTCTTCGTCTTCCGCCATCAGTCTCCTCATACGCTCCTTCTCTATCCGCTCTTGCTCTTTCTTTTGCTCGCGTTCCGCGTTCGCGTGGTAGTTCATTACGGCTTTGTTCAACCGCGCCAACTTCGCCTGGTTGTTGCGATGGAACTCCTTGAAGTCTTTGCCGTGTTGGAGCACCGAAGTGAGGAATTCTTGATGTTTCTGGCGACGTTTGCGCTCGGCTTCTAGTTTTTGTTGCTTTTCTAACTTCTCGGTGGCTCGGGCTTCACGCAGACCTTGACGTTTGGTTCTCTTGTAGGCTTTCACGTTGACGGCGGTCTCCAGGGTGGTGTCCCGGCGAGTACACGCTATGATTTCGCTTCGGAGTTGGCGCTGGAAGTTCAAACAGCGCAGAGCTCGGAGCTCGATTTGGGCTTGCATTCGGAGGTCTTCGGACATGTTCGTGGGTAAGTTGCTTAGTTGGTCCATTCTGGCGGCGATGCGCGATGCCAACCTTAACACACAAAAATTACGAAATATACCCTGAGGGACTCCGAGTGTATTTACCGGTTTTCTCGTTCCTGGAGGATTACAACCGGGTCGATTCCTGCGGGTTTAGGAACGGTTGTAATGCGGTTTTGTTTGGTGGAGGTTTGTTGTTGCTGCGGCTGTTGGCCTCCTTGTGGCTGCTGGCCTGGAGCACCAGGACGCACTCCCGAAGGAATTTGCTGGGGTCCTCCAGGCGGACCGGGTTTGACACCCTGGATTTGGACCTAATAGGGTTACTTGTAGTATTTTGACACAACCCGACTACAATTGACAAAATAATAATAATAATAATAAAAAGTTCGTTTGTAGTTGACCCTTCTAGTCAAAGGTGTCGCTCTCCCCTACCTTTCAACAAGGTCATACTAGTTCGAACCGAGCCATTAAACATTCCGAATCTTTGACATTGAAATAAAAAATTGCGAGTTTAAGGAAATGAATATAATCAGCGTCGTGTCTCGTTTTTTGTTCAGAATTATTGCCATTGCTTGAATGCCATGCGTTTATTTTACCTGTGGTGGAACTGGACCGGGAGGACCAGGCGGAGGTCCCGACTGCGGACCAGGAGGTCCCGGAGGTCGCATGCTTTGTTGCGTAGGACCGCTTTCGGGCGGAAGTGGTTCGTTAGGTTCGCTAGCGGGTGGACCACCCTATAAATTTGCAACAGCAACTCTTTCAACTGACAGAAAACGTACGTTTTTTAACATGCACAAATACTACGACTACCGAACTACGTTATCTAACTTTTCCAGCATATGTGTTGCATATTTTATAAATAGGGACTTTATGTTTTCAACGTGACATTAAATGTATGGAAATTGCTGTTTTTATGTGTATTTATCTACTAATAATCGCATGCTTATTCAACTAATCAGTCGCTACTAATAAAAAAAGGAGGACGAGCAAGCAAAACTAAGCATAGCATAGAAGGAAAGGCAATAATAGTAAAACATACAGGTGAGTAGTTATATATTTAAGGCGGCAATAATGCATTCACTTTTTTGCCTTGTGAATTAGTGCATCTCACTTGAAAAAAGTTTCTAGTGTTAGTGCAATTCGTGTGATTTTTATCTGCGTGACGTGAGATTACTTATATCACTGAATAGACTTTTTTAAGCCGAAAACTGTCTTCCATAATCGGCGTGTTGTTAAACAAAGTTTTAAAGTTCTTTGAACTTCGGAAAAACAAACATTTTTATCACAAGGTTTATTGAAAGTCGTTTATTAAAATACACACACACTTCCAAATTATTGTCTACTAAAAAGGTACTTTATTATTTTTGCATTTCGCATCATTTTCGCAATTTTTAACGAAAATTGCAATTTTGGGGACCGCTGACTGCATACATTTTTCCTGACGTACTAATTAGTATCGAGAAAAAATTTGGACATCCCTTACGATAACCAAAAACTCGCGACCTAGTAGAAATTGTGGACACCCCTGTCACAGCGATGCGATTTTGGACACTCATGAAGACGATTGAGAGTAGAACTGACGTCCGCATACTTTGTTTTCATTTTGCTCATGCTCTTAATAATTATACACTGTGTTAATAATGAATATTTACCACGAGAATAATCTCCATCAATTATTTCTTCGCCATGTAATTAGAAATAATTGTTAATCGACTCTATAACATCGAAAAAAACAATAATAACGACGTTGATTTCGTTTATTATTACTATTATTATTATTATTGTGTTATGTACTTATGTAAAGAAATATATAAAAATTATCTCCTATTTATCTTGTATCTGTTTCAATACTTCGACTTTTGAATTTTTCAATTTTTAGACTTCCAGTGTTTTTGATTTTTTATTTATTCGATTTTTCCAACGAACCGCATTTTAAAATGAGTTGAATGTTATACAAACATATACTCATATACTTGTAGTATATGAATCCGCTTTCAGTTTTTCGCTGAACGTTCAAATTTTCGCAAAAACAATTGCACGGTATAATAACGTTATATTACCACCACGAGATATATGATAATTTTTGTTTTCTTTTAATATATAGTTTTCTTTCAGCAACAGGATAGTTAAACATGTTTTCAGTTTCTTGTTGCCAAAAGAAGACTTCGTATATTAAGAAAAAATGGACAAAATATAAACCCCGCCCACCCACCCTTTGTTAATTGTGATGAATGTTTTATTTTGAGTTTCATTGTGAGTTGAAGGGCGGAGTTAGTTGCAAAATCCTCATTTCTCTACAATAAATTACAATATGAAATTCATCACAATTGAGATTGGGGCGGGTGGGTGGGGCTTAATCTTTGTTTTTTTTTAATGTATAGAGTGATAACAATCGGTCCCGTAGTAAAAAAAAAACTGAAAAATCGAAAAAATTAAATATCGAAAAATTGAAAAATTGAAGAGCAAATTCAAGAAATTAAAAAATGCAGAAATCGAAAAATTGAATAACAAAGAAATTGAAAAGTGGGGAAATCAAGAAATCGAAAAATCGAAGGGAGAAATAAAAAAATTGAAAAATCAAAAAACCGAAAATTTTTAAACTCCAAAAATTGATCGAAAAGTGGAGAATCCACAAATCAAAAAATTAAAAAATTAAAAAATCGAGGAATAGAATAGTCGAAAAATCTAAAAATTGAAAATTCGACAAATCGAAAAATTGAATAACTAAGAAATTGAAAAGTGGGGTAGTCAAGAAGTCGAAAAATCGAGAATTCGAAAAATGAAAAAATTTAAATATCGACAAATGGAAAAATCGAAGAGCAAAAATTAGGATATTTTGAAAAATGAAGAAATCGAAAAATTGAAAATCCCAAACATCGAAAAATCGAAGGGAAAAATAAAAAAATTGAAAAACCGAAAAACTGAAAAATAGAAAAGTCGGAAAAATCAGAAATGAAGAATCGAAAAATTGATCTTAAATGGAGAATCCACAAATCAAAAAATAGAAAAATTCAAAATTCGAGGAATAGAATAGTCGAAAAATCGCGACCTTGAAAAATGGAAAAGTCGAAAAATCGAAAAATTGAAAATCCGACAAATCGAAAGGAAAATTTAAAAAGGGGGATATTGAAAAATTGAATAATTAAGAAATTGAAAAGTGGGGAAATAAAGAAATCGAAAAATCGAAGGGAAAAATAAAAAAATTGAAACCGTGATATTGAAAAACCGAAAAACAAAGAAATCGAAAAAACCAAAAATTGAAAAAACGAAAAGTCGAAAAATGAAAAAATTAAATATCGACAAATTGAAAAATCGAAGAGCAAAAATCAAGAAATTGAAAAATGCAGAAATCGAAAAATTGAAAACTCCAGACATCGAAAAATCGGAGGGAGAAATCAAAAAATTGAAAAACCGAAAGATCGGGATCTCGAAAAATCGAAAAGTCAAAAAATCTAAAAATTGAAAATTCAACAAATCGAAAGATTTAAAAATGGGGAAATCGAAAAATTGAATAACTAAGAAATTGAAAAGTGGGGAAATCAAGAAATCGAAAAATCGAAGGGAAAAATAAAAAAATTGAAACTGTAATATTGAAAAACCGAAGAACAGAAATCGTTAAAACCAAAAATTGAAAAATCAAAAAACCGAAAATTTTTAAAATCCAAAAATTGATCTTAAGTGGAGAATCCACAAAGCAAAAAATAGAAAAATTCAAAATTCGAGGAATAGAATAGTCGAAAAATCGGGACCTAGAAAAATTGAAAAGTCGAAAAATCGGTAAGTCGAAAAATGAAAAAAATTTAAATATCGACAAATCGAAAAGCAAAATTCAAGAAAATGAAAAATGGAGAAATAAAAAAATTTAAAACTCGAAACACCGAAAAATCGAAGGGAGAAAGCAAAAAAATTGAAAAAACGCAAAATTGGAAAATCAAGAACTTGAAAAAACGAGAAACCGAAAAATTTTAAAATTGAGAACGGGGTGGTACTAAATCTTTGTTTTTTTTTTAATATATATATTTCAACAAAAGAATAGTTAAACATGTTTTCAGTTTCTTGTTGGGAACAGAAAACTTCGTATATTAAGAAAAAATGGGCAAAATATAAAACCGCCCACCCACCCTTTATCAATTGTGATGAATGTTTTATTCATTGTCAGTTGAAGGGCGGAGTTTAATGGCAAAATCCTCATTTCTTTACAAGAAATTACAATATGAAATTGAGATTGGAGCGGGTGGGTGGGACTTAATCTTTGTTTTTTTTTTTAACGTATAGAGTGACAACAATCGGTCCCGTAGTGAAAATATCCCGAAAATATCTGGTGAAATAAAAAAAAAAAAAAAAATTGAAAACAGGGAAATCGAAAAATTGAATAACTAAGAAATTGAAAAGTGGAGAAATCAGGAAATCGAAAAATCGAAAGGAAAAATAAAAAAATTGAACAATCAAGAACTTGAAAAATTTTCAAATTTAAAAATTGATCGAAAAGTGGAGAATCCACAAATCAAAAAAAAGAAAATTAAAAAATCGACGAATAGAATAATCGAAAAATTGCGACCTCGAAAAATCGAGAATTCGAAAAATTAAAAAATTTAAATATCGACAAATGAAAAAATCGAAAAGGAAAAATTAGGAAATTCAAAAATGGAGAAATCGAAAAATTGAAGACCCCAAACATCGAGAAATCGAAGGGAGAAATGAATAAAATGAAAAATCAAGAACTTGAAAAATTGAAAAAACGAGAAATCGAAAAATCATAAACCGAAAGATTTTAAAATCCAAAATTGACAACGGGGCGGGTGGGTGTTACTAAATCTTGTACTTTCTGATTTTTCTCGAATCTGAAGAAATGAAAAATCTAAAAATTTAAACGTCCAAAAGTTGGAAAATAGGAAAACTGAGAAATTTCAAAATGAAAACTTTAAGAGATATCGTAAAAATTGAAAAAATAAAGAAAATAAAAAATTGAAAATGGAAAAATTAAAAACTCGAGAAACTCAAACCGAAAAAAAAAAATGATAATTTTACAAAGATGTCGGATTTATTTGACTGCGGTTAGGGGCGAGGGAAATTCTGTTGAAATAACCTTCGACACATTTGTTACTTTTTTGTTGTTTCGATTTGTCTTTCGATTTTTTGCCTTCTCATTTTTAGATTTTTCGGAATTAATTTTTCAATTTTTGGATTAATCGGGTTTTTTTAGGTACCTATAAATTTTTCAATTTTGAATTTTCGGATTTTTCAAACTTCAGCTATTTCGATATGTATCTTGATTTTTTGACTTCTCCACTTATCGATCTTTTGATGTTGTTTTCAATTTTGGGATTTTTTGGATTTCGATTTCAAAATTTTTAATTTTTCGACTTTGTTTTTTTGATTTTTTACTTATTCGATTTTTCCAACGAACCGCATTTTAAAATAAGTTGAATGTTATACAAACATATACTCCTATACTTGTTGTATATGAATCCGCTTTCAGTTTTTCGCCGAACGTTCAAATTTTCGCAAAAACAATTGCACGGTATAATAACGTTATATTACCACCACGAGATATATGATAATTTTTGTTTGTTTTCTTTTAATATATAGTTTTCTTTCAGCAACAGCATAGTTAAACATGTTTTCAGTTTCTTGTTGCCAAAAGAAGACTTCGTATATTAAGAAAAAATGGACAAAATATAAACCCCGCCCACCCACCCTTTCTCAATTGTGGTGAATGTTTTATTCATTGCGA